TGGGTGGGAGTCGTTGGTACAGTACTTCCTGGGGGAAGTTTCTTCTCTGCCGCCATTCTCCTCCCTCTCCCCGCCATATTTACAAAGAAGAAAAGTTTTATTTTTAAAGTAAAGTTTCTCTGTATTCAGCGCTTCTTGGCTTAAAATGCAGCTTTCAAGCTCAGCAGAAATCTCATACGGTTAGTTTCGTTCTTTCTTTTCTACAGCGCTTGGAAACCACTCCATTTCGAGGGGGGGTGGAACACCGACCCTTCCCCACCTGCTGCTCCTTCCCGCAACGATCTGGCAGACTGAGACTTCTTCGCTTATACAGAGGTCTGATTAACTCACTGTTTAGGTGTGTTCGGTTGTTGCAAGAGGCTTATTTTCACTTATTTTCTTATCCGCTTGTCCGGCGGTCGGCTCTGAGCACCATACTGGCTCCGGGGCGTCAGGACCTCTCAGGGACAGGCAAGCCTCGATTCCTCGGCCATCACCTTGGGAGAGGCTTATCCCGGCTCCCCAGGCTGGGGGTCTCCTACAGAGACCCTGGGGGGGTCTGGAACCAGCCATGACCCCTCCTGATCGCCTCGGCTTGGCGCATCTCCATCGGAGGTTCGATGAGACGCGTCCAAGAGCAAGCCGCCATAAACTGGAAGTCCATTTGTTTGCTAATGATATTTATTTGTCTAAGAGGGAGAAAGAGGGAGAGATGGAAAGAAATTATGAAAGAGGTGGAAAGAAAGAGAGAGATAAAGCAAATAGATGGGGGAGGGAGGGGGCAGAAGGGAGACAGAGAGAGAAACAGAGAAAGCAAATAGATGGGGAGCCTGCTAGGAACCGCACAATATGTGTGAAACAGCCGCATGCAGCTCCTGAGCCACAGTTTGGCCACCCCTGACATTCCTCTGAAGTCCTGGCTTCCATTTCTTGAAAAAGAAACAAATGCCTAGTCCTTTTGGTTGCAGAGATATAAGGGGTACTCCTTCTATCCCTTAAATGAAAAGGACTATACGCGCTTTTTAAAAAAAAAAAAAAAAAGAAAGCTGAAAATTCAGAGGAACTAATAAACTGCGGAAATGGATCATTATGTTGTTATGCTACAGTGCAAAAGCAATTACTGATTGGCTGATAGAAAGAAAATGGCACCAGTTTGGGCGGGACCTATGAAAATGTGCACCTTCCTGTTCAGACAGTGTGCTGAGGTGCTTGGACTGCATTCTTTCTGGAAAGATCATAGCAGAGCAGGTTTGAGAAAGGACATGCCAAGAATGAAGAAAGCTGGAAAGTGAATTATTGGGGGACAGCGTCATGTGGATGCTACAAAACAAACAGCTAACTGCATTTTGGAAGCCAAGGTAGAGAAAACCCTTTGTATTGATACACCCTTCTAAAAAAGTGTAAAGAAGGAGTTTTGCTTTGGGAAGACGTATTTTTGCTGGCCTTTGGAGACCAAGCCCTATGAGGAAAGGTTGAGGGACTTGGGAATGTTTAGACTGGAGAAGAGGAGGTTGAGGGGGGACATGATGGCTCTCTTTAAGTATTTGAAGGGCTGTCACTTAGAGGAGGGCAGGAAGCTGTTCCTGTTGGCAGCAGAGGACAGAACTCGCAATAATGGGTTTAAATTAAGGGTGGGGAGGTACCAGCTGGGTCTTAGGAAAATCTTTTTTACATTAAGAGTTGTTCAGCGGTGGAATCAGCTGCCTAGGGAGGTGGTGAGCTCCCCCTCACTGGTAGTGTTTATGCAGTATTTGGACAAACACTTGTCAGGGATACGGTAGACTGATCCTGCATTGAGCAGGGGGTTGGAATAGATGGCCTTTATTGCACCTTCCAACTCTGTGATTCTATTATTCTGTTTTGTGGCATCTAGGAAAATCAGAAAAAAATATAGTCACATGGGCTAGCATTCTTCTCTTCAGCCAATTCCTATCTTAATAAAAAATTTTTTTAAAGGATTGGTTGGCGTTCCACTGGGGCCCAAGCGTGTCATGATAGAGAAACAGCATGGTGTAATGGTTAAAGTGTCAGACTAGGGATCTGGGAAACATGGGTTCAAATCCCCATTCTACCATGTTAAGTTTGCTGGGTGACCATGTGCCAGCCACACATTCTCAGCCTAACTTACCTCACAGGGTTGTTGTGAGGATAAATTGCAGGAGGGGAGAATTACGTAAGCTACTTTGGGTCCCCATTCAGGAGAAAGGTGGGAGATAAAAGTAAATAAATGGCTAGCAAAGGTTACAGTGATAGAGCAACCCTGAAAAGAAAGCTGCAGAAAGGGTCGCTTCCAAGCCAGACTCTCAAGGTTGTAATCAAGTCAAAACATCTGAGCTGTGTGAGCTGCTTCACTGGGAGTTACTTAGGAGTAACGGCGCCGATTGGGCTTCATTTCAAAAGCCAGGGAACACAGAATGAACGTATCTTTTGCACCGAATTGGCAGAGGCCTTGCACAATGGCTGCAAAAAAATTAAAACTTGGCAGGTGGCATTGAGAGGCTTGCAATTTCCATCTTGAATGCCAGCTGTTGTACCCAGTGGATTGCAGAATGCCAGCTCACCAAAAAGTCATGCAAGTAAAAACAGCACCGTTGCCCTCATGCTTTGGAAATGACACAACAAGAGGAAGTCTCTACCAGGCTGTATCCGGGTTCCAGAACTTCCAGGGCACCCACGATCTTCGTTATATCTGGAATGGGAACCAAGCTTCTTCCTCCATTTAGTTACCACAAACCCCTGACTCCCTTCTCCCTCTGTTTTATCTGAGCTTCAGGAAAGGTCTTAGGCTGCCCCTTATAATAAAGGTTCCCTTGCTCGAAAGCCAGTCGAATCCGACTCTAGGGTTGCGGTGCTCATCTCCGTTTCAAAGCCGAAGAGCCAGCGCTGTCCGAAGACGTTTCCGTGGTCATGTGGCCGGCATGACTAAACACCAAGGCGCATGGAACGCTGTTACCTTCCCACCGAAGTGGTCCCTATTTATCTACTTGCAATTTCTCGCTTTCGAACTGCTAGGTTGGCAGGAGCTGGAACTAGAGACGGGAGCTCACTCCGTCTTGCGGCACCCGGGTCTCGAACTGCTGAACTACTGACCTTCCACAGCCTGCACTTCAGCGTCTTAACCACTTGAGCCACCGCAGTCCCTTATAATACCAGCTGTTTATTGCCTGGTATGCCCTCCTCCCCAAACCAGGGCTAGTTCTAGGTTTCAGGTGGCTCCCTGGGCAGAGAGTTCCCAGGGCCCCCTTCCCCTCCTCTGCCCTCCACCAGGTCCTGCTCACACCCTCCTTCCCTCCGACCTGCCTGTGCGTCCTCCCCCTATTTGCTTGTGAGACCTCCCACTGCCCATGCTCACAGCCACCAGCACCGCCCTGCAACCCTGTCCCTGGTTGCACTGGGAAGTGGGCGCAGATGGAGAAGGGGCAGCAGAGCACTAGCAAGTGTGTGTGTGTGGGGGGGTGTCTCAGCGATGAGCCGTCCTGGAAGCCCTAGGCCCTGGCAGCAGTGCCCCATCTCAGGGTACGTTGACACTGGCCCTGCGGGAAAAAAGCCCCAAGATCCAGTTGTCTTCTTCTTTGAACCAGCCCGTTCTCCAGGTGGTTCATGCCCTCCAGGGGTCATTTCGTAGAAAAAGAGCTAGGGGAACTCATTAGTATAACTCATTAGCATATACCACACCCCCTGACATCACCGAAAGTGTGTCATAAGGCCACACACCCCGCCCCCAACGGTCCCGGCCGCCGCCGCCGCCGGCCTTGCAGCTCCACTGCCGAGCCCCATGAGGGGCCCAGCAGTGGACCTGCAAGGCCAGCGGGAGTGCAAGGAAGCCCCGTGACCTGGCTGAATGAGGGCTGGAAGCGGGGCGGCCGAAAGCAGGGGGCGGGGCTTCGTCATGTGCCCCGCCCCCCGTACCTCACCCAGGGGAACTGCGATCCCCCCCCCCGAAATGACCTCTGATGCCCTCAAAATGGCAGCACTAGCTGCTGAAACCGGAAACCTCCCTCAAAATAGACGGCTTGTGAATTCCTGCCCCCAGAGGCTGAGCTGGGCGACTGGTGTGGGAGAGGGAGGAGGGGATATTTATAGGTCTGGACTGCCACTGAATATGCAGACTGAAGGAAGCTGGAGGTGGGATCCTACTCTTTTCCCTCCAGTTCCTTTCTCTCTGTGGGGGGCTGCGCCTGGCTTTCTGTATAGCCCAGCACAGTGATCTGCAACGGCAGGAGTGGGTTGTGGTTGCCACTGGAGGAAGGTGTCAGCAGAAGTCATTGGTGACGGTACACAGGGGGGCCAGGATTCTGCCTCACCGTCTTGCTGAGACACAGAATACAACACCAAATATACTGAATTTGGAGCCTTTGGACATTAAAGATTTTGTTTCAGTGAGTGCCTAGTCCCTCTAACTGTGGAGAGAAATCTCAAACTATGTGAGCCAATTTTTGTTCAAGGCACAGGGATGAATAGGACTCCCCGCAGTAAGGGGTTGGAACACTCCTGGATGCAGAAACTGGTTGCTTCTGTTCCCCATCCTTAAAAAACTTCCAGGAAATGTTCCAAATGTTCCCGTCTTCCTTCTCTAGTTCTTGCCAAACAACCAAATAAAACCGCATACACACAAACAAACAGATGTGTGTGCATACAGAACAAAAATGCCAGCACAGAAACACACATGTATTAATAACCGGTCTGATTTTTGCTGCTTTTAAAACTCCACAGAACGTCCTGATTTTTTAGATTTATCTCATTGGCATTTTGGATAGAATGCTAAGATTCCCTTTCATCTCTGAGAATGCACCCCAAATAACTGCAGTGGGTTTTTACTTCTGGGGTCCTGAACAAAATCTATTATGGTGAGACAGCCCCCTCCCCATCACCACCTTAGTAAAACATTTGAAATCTGCCTGCCTGCCCACATGTATGCGATGCCCTGGAATAGAAGAACCGCACTCCCCCAAGTTTTGGAAAAGGTCCAGGGGTGCAGCTGTGGCAGCTGTCAGGGCGTGGAGTGGCCAGGAATGTGCCGGGACAGCACGTAGGAAACAGCTTTCTTGCCTGCCAGGGTCACTGCGTGGTGAAGGTACCGCTGGGAGCTTCTCCACAGCAGTGCCTCCATGTTTCAGGGGGTGGGGTGGGGCGTGAGATAGCTGGAACTATGGCTCTAGCAGCAAAGGGTTAATCGGAGCATGAATGTCAAACCCCCCCCCTTCCCTTCTGAAGTTTGACATTCCCCAGCCAGGAATTTTCCAGGCCTAATTCATCCTCCACCAGCAACCCTCTTTCCAGCCTTGGGGTCTTCTGGACTGAAGGCAGCGGCATGAAAGAAAAGGGCCGAGAGAAGGAGAAAGGGGGAAAGGGTGAGTGAAACTGCTGGTGCAAGGGAACGGGGGTGTGGGTGCAAGGAAAGAAATAACGTTTGTGAAAAGGGCATGTGTGAAGAATGAGAGACAGAACAGCATTGAGTGATAGAGAGACCCGGGAAGGAGGAGAGGATCACAAACGCTTGTGCAAACAGTGCATTATGGGGGGAAAGTTTGAGCAAGTGGGACAGAGTGCTGGGTTCAAATTCCTGCTCACCGGGCAAGCCGCCGGTTCTCACTGCCAGTTTTTCCGACCAGTTAAAAAGGAAACTTGTTGTGATCTTGTTCTCCCCACCCACAGCATTTCTATGGTGATGAATAAGATCAAGAGGGGATGTCTGCATCTCGAACGTTCTAAAAGTATAAAGATTTCTCAATGCAATCCTAATGGATTTGGGGGGAAAGGATACATGTCGTTTTGAGAATGCAGGGCAAAGAAAGAGATTGGGGGTCGAAGGAAAACATACAGGGCAAAAAACTTGTATGGGTGGAAATGCTAAGATATCTTGGGACGAAAGCCAGAGTGGCAGCAACAGCAATAAAAAAAATCTCGTGGGGCACCGTGAAGAAGACCAGCAGTTTTCTTGGCACTTATGACACACACTATTACTGAATATTGGACCTGGCAGATCTGAGGCACGGGGGACAATTTCCACCAGGAGAAGAAAGGTCTGTGTTAACGAATGGAGCCAAACCGTTTATTGTATCGACATACATGCATGGACATCACTCTCCTCTTTCATGGTATATACAAGAGAGCTGGCCGTTCCTAGACAGACAGAAAGAAAATTTGTATCAGAAGAGGGGAAATGAATCAAAAGGTTTGAGGGACGGGGAAGAGAAGCTACACCTAACAACAACTACTAAAAGGAGATGACAAAATGAAATAAGCATATTTGGGGGACAAGCGGACAGAGAAACGAAAAGAAGGAGAATAGAGATTAGGTTACACGTTAAAGGGAGAGTCTTTTGGGATGGATGCATAAACAGTCAATTTAGCTGGATGAAGTTAGCGCAAGGGAGGGACGCGCTGTGAATTAGTGAGTGTGGCAGGCACGGATGGAGAACTAGCGAGCGGTGGGAGTGCGAGAGAGACAGCAGCAGAGGGAAAGCAGCACAGCTAAGTCCTCCCTGGCACCTGCCCCAAGTCTCTCTCCTCTCCCCTCCACCGTCCCACTCGCGCTCGGCTGAAAGCTGCCACCATCTGTCTCTTTGGGGGCAGGAAGAGGCAGGATGGGGGCCCCTTCAGAGGGTAAGTTTCACTTATTCCCAGCAGGGAGGAGAACTGCAGGCGAGGCGTTTGCTGAGGAAAAAAAGAAATGGGGTGACGGGGGGGGAATAAAAGGGGGGTGACCAGAAAATGCAGGGTGTGCATTAAAATTGGATGAAAATAGAGAGATGGAGAATGTCAGGGGAAGGGGCGTAGGGTTATAGGAAAGGCAGGGGCTGGGATGAAATTGTAGGGGGGGGGAGGCAGCCTCACACACCACATATAAGAAAGGCATATAATATTTACTCTACAGGAACTGACCCTGTCGTTTTGCTAAAAAAACCCCATATTTTGGTCTGTTTTGTAGGGCACATAATTTGGGGTGGGGGTAGTGAAGATTATTTCAGAAGGGCAGAAAAATTGGGGGGAAATTGCAGCTGTGGATTGAGTGGGTGGTTAAAAAGGGACAGACTTTCAGTGGGGTTGTGGCATGGATGTTTGTGGGGAGTCTCCAGTTTGTGGGGACACGTCTGCTGCCGGGCATGGTGGCTGTAGACTCTGTGGATCACAGATGTGGTAGCTGTGATGTGGCACATGAGAAAACACTTGAGAGCTCAGTCTTAAATTGGATACCGGAGTTATTTGGAGGGGATCCTGTTGCCTTAACCCCTCTCTGAAGTACGCGAAATGGTGCGTAATCAGATTGCGTATAGTTTCTGTGCAATTTTAGGGATAGCTGTAGAATATGAGGTGCGTTGGGGGGGGTCCTCTAATTTGTGTTGTGTTGGCCATGTGTTTTAAGGAATCTGTCTGAGTTTGAGGGGCTACCACCTTGGAGGCAATGTTCCCTCTAAGCTGTGGAGTCTTATGAGCAAAAATTCTACTTTGTGAGCTACCGGCATTAAAGTTGTGAGCAAACAATTTGGCTACTGCATCAATTAGTTTGCTCTGGAGCCCTCCTTCCTGAGCGAAGGCAAAAATGTGTGAGCCGGAGGCTGAAAAACTGTGAGCTAGCTCACACTAACTCAGCTTAGAGGGAACACCGGATGAAGGCTTATAGAGGGAGAGATTAGGTTGTTCAGGTATGCTGCCATCTTGGAGATGTCTAGAAACAGCTATTGGAAGCTGTTAAATGGGGGATTGACCAGTCAGTGTGGACTAACTTTGGCTAGATTGGGTCAGGAACATCAAAAGTGTCTCGGGCTGTCACATACCCCATATTTGGTAGTTTGGGGTTTCAGAATAAAACGAAGGAAAATGAGTATATATGGAAATACATTGATTTAGGAATGTTGAGCCATTCGAGATGGCAGTCCTTAGAAACTACCCCCACCTCCCAGTTTAGGAAAGAAGGAGGTGGCCACGATCCTTTTCCCGTCTTTCTTTCCCTTTCTTTACTTTTCCTGGATAGAAACCCAAAGTCGCTCGAAGCCAGGTTAGGAGAGGCAGAGGGGAGCCAGTTTCCTCGCAACACCCCCCCCAGCCACCCTCCCCAGCCCAGATGCTCTCCTGCCAACCACAGCTGGGCCGGCCTTCTTTCCTTCTCGGTATTTTTCCAGCTTGTGGAAAAACCAGCCAGAGCCAAAATGGAATTAAAACACAGGGATGGATCCTAGTGTTGAGAAGGGGAAGAGGAATTGAATGGAGCTGAGGCGAAGCAGAAGCGAGAAGGGCTGTGTGTACACACACACACACACACACACACACACACACACACACACACACCCCTCTTCCCCAGACAAAGGGGTCTGGGATAGGAATAGGTTTGACATTCAAAACGTCAGCTATATATTTTTTCCTAAACAGCAGTGTTTACGTTGTGGAACATTTGGTGTATTTACAATGCAACCCGCAAGTATTATTTTATTTGCTTCCTTTCAATCCCACTTTTCTCACCAGTGGGTGGGGCCGGGGCCAGCCTATCTTGAGGCAGGGCGGCTGCCAGGGCCCAGGATGTCTGGCGGGGCCCATCGCCCCTGATCCCCACCCACGCACCTTCCCTGCCACCTGTCTGTACCCGTTATCTGAACAGCCCAGTGTCACTGAAGAAGGGCGTGTGGGTAGTGCACGATGCTGGCATTCCTACAGCAGCACGCCCAGCCACGCACGCTGACCAGTGCTCTTGGGGGAAAGGGTGTGCAGATGGTCCAGGCAACCGAGCATGGGCAGCGGGAGGGCTTGCAAGCAGGAGAAGGGTGCATGGGAAGGTGGAAAGGAAGACATGAAGGGGACCCCGGTGGTGGTCGGATGGGGCACTGTCCACCCAGCCCCCCCCAAAAAAACCCATGGGATCAGCCCTGCCAGTGGGGATCAAAGTGCCTTATTTTCTTCTCCAGTGCCGTTAAAAGCTTTGGGGCAGGCAGCAGTTCAGGTAATGCAGGTTTTTCATGTAATGATGGGAAAAGATGTATCTGCTAAATTTCTGCCTGATGGCAGTGATCATTATGGGTCAGATCCAGCAAGCCATTCTACTGGTGAAAAGGAGATGGCCCAAAATGACTATGCTGGGGATCACGAACAAAAGCCACATGTAATTGGGATGTCAGAGAGAGAGGGAAAGGGCAAGGCTGAATGAAAAACCTGGCTGGATCCTACCCTGTGTTGCACTGCATTGTTATAGGCTCAAATAAAGAACTGTTATAATATTGCCTTTTTAAGAGCTGGGATTAGTTTTTAAGTGGGAAGAGAAATCTTGTTATTTGAATTTGGTTTGCAAAACTCACACTGATATCCTCATCATTTACTTTTTCGTAAGAGCACCAATCAATGAATGAAGCTGCACTGAGGAGTCATTTTAAAATATTTTTGAATTTGGCAAGTCAACCTTGAACAATTGTGTTTTGCCAAACATTTATGGAAAGATCCAAATTGAATAACTTTGAGATCTGATTTGAATGCGAATTTTTCATATGCTTAACTGAAATAAATTGGATTTCGGTGAACTTAACAGTGTTTGGATTGTGTACTTGTTTTTTTAAAAAAAGGTTCTCAAATATTTAAGGTTTCAAAAATGCCAGATATTGGTTTTTTAATGTCCATATTTTGAACATTGAACAGAGATTGAAATATGTAGATTCCACTTTGAATTTAAAAAACAAAATAATCCAGGACATATTTACCTGTTTGAGCGGCAGGCTTCTGGCATTCTTGAGCCACCTCCCAATAGTTTTAAAACTTACCTAGCACCTTACCTGGTCAGAGCTTAATTAAAAATAAAAAAGGATTTGGTATTAAGCATGGGTAGCATGCATTCCTTAAAGACTTTTAGCAAGCCAATTTCTATCTCTGGAAGTTTCTAGTCCTTTCACAACTTTCACAAGTCAGTTTTTAGTCCTCCTTTGGTTTTGCATGTTATATCTCTTGTTTCAAGGGTCCATGCCCCTCCACATTTTATCTTCACACAGACTTGACAACTTCCAGGTAGATCCTGGAGATTTCCAGGAGGATCCTGGAAATCTCCAGGAATTACAACTGTTCTTCAGGAAGAAAATGGCTGTGTTGAAGGGTGAGCTCTATGGCACTATACCCTGCTCTACCCTCCACAGGCTGTCCCCAAATATCCAGGAATTTCCCAACCCAGAGTTGGCAACCCTTGACATCCAACAAGCACCATGGCTGCACAGAGATTTTAATTAAGATCTCCTAGCAGTGTTCCCTCTAAGCCGAGTTAGTGTGAGCGAGCTCACAGTTTTTTAGTCTCCGACTCAGCTCAGGGAGGATGGCTCCAGAGCAAACTAACTTATGTAGCAGCCGAATTGTTCACTCACAACTTTAATGCCAGTAGCTCACAAAGTAGAATTTTTGCTCACAAGACTCCACAGGTTAGAGGGAGCACTGTCTCCTAGTCCTGGAATAATATGCTAACCAGTACACAGCATTGTCTCTGGTTGCACAAACTTGTGGCACAATCCTAAACGTGTATCCTCAGAAGACAATTCCATTGAGTTCAATGGGATTTACTCCCTAGTAGGCGTGCCTGCCCTGACAAGTGTGGTCCAGGCTAGCCTGAACTTGGCAGATCTCAGAAGCTAAGCAGGGTAGGCCCTGGTTTGTGCTTGGATGTACCCAGGGGTCGTTTCGTAGGAAAAGAGCTAGGGGAACTCATTAGCATAACTAATTAGCATATGCCACACCCCCTGACATCACCGGAAGTGTGTCATAAGGCCACACCCCCTGACATCACCGGAAGTGTGTCATAAGGC